GTCAGGCTCTGGGCTGATGGCTCAGAGCCTGGAGCCTGTTTCCGATTCTGTGTCTCCCTCTCTCTCTGCCCCTCCCCCGTTCATGCTCTGTCTCTCTCTGTCCCAAAAATAAATAAACGTTGAAAAAAAAATTTAAAAATAAATATATAAATAAATAAAATGGAAGATGTGGCAGCTATAGGGCATGTATATTACATGTCAAAATTGACTGGAGCTGAGTATTGGCTTTTTCCTTCAGGCTAGGCTTGAACTTTCAGGAAGGCTACAGTCCCCACAATACTTTATTTTCCTTAAACCTGGACCTACCTTCAGTACACATGTAATCTGATTGGTTACCACAGCCATTTCATTTTGTGACTTGTGAAAAAGTAGGTGCCATGTAGATACCAATTCACTTTGCATAAATTGTGGCTAATTGTTACAATTATAATTGGATTCAGCATGACTATTAATATTTTACAGATTCAGAAACTACTGAGACAAGTTAAGACTGTAAATCCTTATTAAAGTTACCGCTAGTTCATAGGACTGCTGAGTTTCCCGTTACATCGCATGGACTTACATACAATAACCATGTTTAGTGGTGGCAAATGGTAAGCAATAAATATAAGGAGTATTATTTTTCATACGTTAATGAAATTTTAATTAACATATCCCAAATGTCACTTTAGATATTTGTTCAAGATGTTTTAGATAAGAAGGGACACTGGTGTGCCTCTAGGAAAAAAATAAATACTTATCATGAACCACTTAACCAGTACATGGCAGAGGTAAGCTGCACAAACACGGAATAATCACCACACATTATAACATCCTCATTTCCTGTTATCATGTTCTAAATCAAGCTAAGTGGAAGTGCTCCTTGGAATATGTGGTACAAATATTGGATGGAGAAACTACTTCTAATCATCATGGCTTCTCAGAATTCAAACCCTTTTTAGGTATTTTAAACCACAGAATTACCATATCATGAAGGAACTAGGTTTAAATAGTGAGTGATAACCCATTTCAGATATCCGACTGCCTGTACTTCTTGTCTTCCATTTAAGAAGCAAGGTAATATTTTTCACTTATCCTTTTTGTTATTCTACATGCATCATAATATTGTAAAATCTAATAACATAGTTCTAAAAAATATTTTTAAAGAAATTAATGTCAGTGTACTTTAAGGTCCTTTGAGAAATTGTTTTAGAACATAAGTTACTGATTTAGCTACTTTTCAGTGCTTCTGGGTACAATTAATGTATAGACACCGTAAAATGCTTATTATACTACTCTATCTTATTACGAAGTGCCAAAGTCTTATTTTAAGAGCTAGGTCATCATAATGAGGTTTTTGGAAATCCAGGGCACTGTGTATTTAAGATGTGGACTCCTGGATCACTTCTTTCATGTGTTAATCAGACACAGTAACCCAACATAGCTGCTCTGGAGACCAGAGATAATATTTGTAATGTAACTACTACAATGTCTGGCATATAGCAGGTATTCAGTAACTGCAACAATTTCTATGTTTCTCATTTATCAATATGCTAAAAACATTACTTTAACTCTCAGCATCTACGTTCCAATTTCTTTTATCCCTGGAGAACCAAATGTCTAAGTAAAATTGAAGTAAGCTGTTATAAAATAAATTTATTTCATATTTTAAGAGGCAAAATGATGTTTATAATATTATAAAGCATTATCACTATGAAATGCTTCTAAAATGAACATCCTATGCATCATCTTGTAACAGTAAACAAATATACCTGAGATTTTTAGTAAAAATGAGAAATTAACTAGAAATTTAGGCAATGCAAATCCTAGGACAGAGTAATGCCTATATGTACACATTCCCCAGAAGTGCATAGGTAAATATCGCCAGCAAATTTAATACTATTTGAGTAAAACAAAATCTTACTCCTTAAAAATAATCAATTTAATGTGTTGATCTAGACACTAAGACACTGTTATATATAAACAATGCGTTAGAATAATTATTTCACTTTTCAGTTCTTTGTTTAACAAATAGGAAAGTGAAGTTGATATGTAGTCAGCAAACCTTGTGGACTAACGCATAGTCATGGTATTAGAGATTGAGCTGGAAGGGATTACAGAAATCAGTCTTATTAGCAGTCTCTCTTTTGCTACATATACGAGGTGCGTGATGTTTAATGATTTATTCAGGCTTCAGCAGCCTGTCTCAGACTGGGAGGCACCCAGACTTCCTTGCACCCATCACAATATTATTTCCACCTGCTACTTCTCATGAAGGAGCCAGACTGCATGTTTTGATGCACCTGATATCTGTTTAAACATGAGTTTCTCTTCTATTTTACATTTCTGATAGTCCTTGTCCACAAGATTGAGGAAGAGTTATAAATAAATGGCCTGATAGAGTGTACTTATTTTTCATCACTGTATCTTCATGTCTGATATGTTGTATGTAGCAACTAGTCATTGAATGAGTAAGTTAGTAAACTAATTAACCAATTACATATAGGGCAAAAAAAAACCCTACTAACTTGCTATACCCAAAAAGGAACTTCGACATTTTAGAAACCAAGATTTCACATTATATTCTGTTAGTAAAATTTCTCTTTATAAAGAACTTGTCATGTTCATATCCATGTGTTTCTCAAGTGAATCTGCTTTTATCAAAGTTTTCATTAGACCTTCCTAATTGCCTGGAACAAAGCTAAATTAATGTACAATTATTGAGAAAATGTGTAATTTTTCAGGAGAATAAAACTTATTAACTTGCTATATACCTATTTTACAGAACTAAGTAAACATGAAGTTCTTTCTTCTTACCTGCCTTTTGGCTACTGCTCTTGCAAAGCATGTAAGTATAATGACATGTTTATGATTATCTATTCTTATTTAAATATAAGAAGAGTGAATCTTTTATGCAGACGATGGCAAGGGTAGGGAGCAAGAAATAGAGACAAGTGTGTGACTTTTAAAACCTATGATCACAGGTTTCATTGGCCTTGCCTTATACAAGGTATGAAGCTGGACAAAAACACTTTTTATAAAGTACTCTCCTTATAGGATGAAGGAGATGTTAGCTATAGGTTAAAAGGCATGAACTTCCTTCCATATCTGCTTGAATGTACTGGGGAACATTTTTTGACTCCAAGAACCGCTTCCTAAAAGTAAGAAATATATTGAGATAAAGCAAGGATACCTTGAAAAGTGTAGGAAAGCCACAGAGAAAATGTAGACTCAAAAACCATCTCTCAAGGAAGGGTCAGAATTTCACTATTCTTGGTTACAGTAGTTCAGAATCTGTTTAGACAGGAAACATTGATGTGTTAAAGAGTGGTTCACTTTGAAAATCACTGCCAAATAACTTACTGCAAAATAATCCCTTAACTTCTCAAGGCATCGTATTCTTCCAGTGAGAATATAGTAAATATATCACAAAATGATACAGTGGACTAGATATGTCATGTCAATGAAGTGCTTTGAAAACACACACATGGAATCTACTAAATTCCTCAGAAGTAACTGATTTTTTCCTTTCCCTTCTACCCCCACTGTCAATCCCTCTTCCATACCCAATATCTCCCCACAACTGCACCATACCTTAAGGTGATCAGAATTCTCTGCACCCTCTGTTTCCTATGTCACATATATATCTTGAAGAGTTTTTTTGTTATTTCTTAAATTCAAAGCCAATTCGGGAGCAAATTAGGGTAAGAATTCCATTTAGGTAAATAGAAAAAAATAATCATAATAACACTTCAATGAGCAATCTTACACCAAGTTTGATTATTTCTTCTGCCTATAATCTACTAGTCTTAACCACACTTCGCCCTTTCTCTCTAAGTCAGTAATTGTCCTCAATCTTTCCTTTAAGATTAATTAAATCTAGAAATCAACATAAACTAAATAAAATATAATATCATGGTGTTATAACATTTTAATATTCTGTAGCACATCTACATTTGTATTTTAGGCTGTGACAGGATTAATACTTAAAAACCAAGAACCCAATCATTTCCTAAAAGTAAGAAATATGTTAAGCCATAACAATGACTTATTTGATGTATAAAATGATTTATCTATTAATATTATGGGAAACATCCCACTAAACCCTAAGCATTCCCAGAAATGGATTTCTAGAAGCTCCACATCCCAATATAAGAACAACAACAAGACAGATTTTCACTTTAAAATAACCAATAAAACTGAAATTTGTGTTTTTTTTTTTAATGCAAAAGATGGAACATCACTCCTCCAGTGAGGTAAGACATTTTAATAAAACATAAAATCCTTTCACCTAGTCAAAACATGAATGCACTGAACTTGTAAGTCTTTACAATATTTTTTTTACCAATAAGACTACAACTACAGTGCCAGAAAAAAAATTGGAAGTGCAACCATAAAAAAAAAGAGATGAATAAAGACCAAGACCAAAGCTCTAAATTCTAATTACCAAGATTAAATTTCTGGGTTTTTTCCTAAGTTGTCTCAATATTAATGGTATTCTCTCAGAAGTCATGATAAACACTGTATATTTTGTGAATCCATTTTATGTTTCTGCAATAAAGACTCATGTTTTTCTGGATCCATATTAAGTGCTAATTTCCAAATGACTCTATCCATAGGTGCATAACAGGTGTCCACAGAATTTTCAATGTTACTAAAGGATTTTCTTGTCTCCTGTGATATATTTCGTCTTTTTAAAAAATACCAAAGAAAAAGTAATGAAAATAAAAGAAAATTGGAAATTGTACAGTGCAAATAGAAAATCTTCTCTTTTCTTCTCTGTGGGTGATATTTAGGAAAGTTTTTGATTCAGCTATTCAAAACTGAAAATAGTGTGGAATGAGCTCATTATCTGAAATATAGTAAGTTAATTACATACAGGGAGTGAAACTTTGATCAATTTTGTTCTTTAACCTAGGCAGAGACTCAATGTTATCTACCTAACGGTTGTTGATTGACAATTTATTGCTAGTATGAATATAATCTAGGTAAGTAAGTCATATTGTTTTTCTTTTTCTAAGGAATTTATCAGCATCTCCCAAGAAGTAAGTCCTAACTTAAATTACATATAATTTTACTTTTTTATTTAATCAACACTATAAAAGAAGTTATTTGTTCTGTAGAAATTTAAACAGGAAAATAAAGTGTTCATTCATCTCAGTAAGGTAAAGTTTAATTTTTTAATCTATTGCTCCTGATTGATGAGGTATCTTTTTCTCTCAAACATGGGTCATTTTCTCATTAACCCAAAATGAGTATTATTTTTAATTATAATTGTAAAAATGGCGAGGCTTTCCATTGCTTTACCAAAATGCTGTGGACTAACATGAAAGGGATAGTAGGAAAAGATTTGTGGGCTAGAACCTGCAATACATGCTATTAAAGCAGAATATCTTTGAGTTTCTTTTTAATGGTCCATCATCTTTACCTTTCTTCCCTAATTCTGTATACTTTGTTCACGAAGTTGATTTTTCTTGATATCACATTATGACCAAGAATATTATACTTCATTTCAGTAAATGCGATCTTTCTTGGTATTGTTTTCTTTTTGGAGGGGAGACATTTGTCCCACATCCTGTGAAGTATATATTGATTTCACATCTGTAGGACAATGTGAAGCAAAAATATTATATTACTTTGAAAAAAAAAACATTGACATTAACCTAGATTTGGAAAACATATTCCAAGTGAATCAAATTTGAAAACCAAGATTTTTTAAAAGAATGACACTAAAATTGCACCCCCTTACCCTAATTCTACGAATAATTCAATTGGAGGAAATATATTTTTGCATGGATCAACTAATACACTGATTTCCACATTCTGTGAGGAATGGAGGACTTATCTTTTAATGGTTTTCATTCCTAAAAGCTTCAAACTTAACATTCGCCTTTCTCTCTTTTTTATTTTTTAAACTATTCTCTCTTCTTTAAATGTTTGTTTATTTATTTTTGAGAGAGAGTGTGTGTGAGTGGCGGGGGGTGGGGGCAGGAGAGAGGGACAGAAGATCTAAAGTGGGCTCTGCACTGACAGCAGCGAGCCTGATGTGGGGCTCGAAACCACAACCCATGACATCATGACCTGAACCAAAGTTGGACACTCAACCAACTGAGCCACCCAGGCACCCCTAACATTTTCTTTTTTAAAAGCTATTTCCTACTGTAATATTTTCTTCAAATTGACTCATTTAAACTTAAATGAATTTGTCATAGAAGCAATATATATTTACTTCCAAGACAAATGTTAGTTGACCTGATATATATTTTTTTTACAATATAGAATGAAATAAATAGTGACTACTAAAATGAAAAAAAAAAAGTTTATCCATGCATTGCCTAAATTAATCTTGTGTGTTCATTCATTCTTTTGGCCAATTTACTGAACAAGAACTATGTCTCAAACAGTAGTTTAGTCTGTAGGGATATAATAATAAATATAACATTCTCTGGAGATACAATACATACAATAAATATGACAATAAATACTGCTGATTGTATGTTTGTCACCAAATGGGAAATTCTAATGTAATTCATACAAAACTCATACAATTAAAATGAATCTATTTAATATTTCTTTTTATGGAAGAGGAATTTTTCCCTTTATGATCAGGAGAAAATGTTTATAAACAATGCTGTGGAGATAAAAAATATAATTATTTTTCTTCTCTCTTCAAGGAAATCACAAGAAACATAAATGAATTGGGAATTTCTGTAAGTACCCTCTTTTAATAAAACTGGAAAGAGGGGCGCCTGGGTGGCGCAGTCGGTTGAGTGTCCGACTTCAACCAGGTCACGATCTCGCGGTCTGTGAGTTCGAGCCCCGCGTCGGGCTCTGGGCTGATGGCTCAGAGCCTGGAGCCTGTTTCCGATTCTGTGTCTCCCTCTCTCTCTGCCCCTCCCCCGTTCATGCTCTGTCTCTCTCTGTCCCAAAAATAAATAAACGTTGAAAAAAAAATTAAAAAAAAAAATAAAACTGGAAAGAGATATATAAGTTCTTAAAAATGACAATTTTTCCCTGCTCACCTTACTAGTATCCACCTAAATTGGTCCATATTCTTTTGAGACACTTCCATTTAATTACAAGATCATTTTTATCTCTTCCACGTGTTTTCCAAAGGTGATTAATAATGAGCAACCATGAACCTGGTTTTATTGCTGTTATGTTAATCCTTTTAACTTATCATATTAATGACCATCTAGGTGATATGAGAAATATCCCCAGTAACTACTAATATTCAAGAATAATCCTGAGGATTTCTTATGGTGGCTGGATTTTGATATTTATTATTATCTTTCAAGGAATATTCTAGCAGGTCATCTAGTGAAGTAAGAGCCCTTTTCTTTTAACATCAAATAGCAAGTTCATCAAGAAATACCAGATTTCCAGCAAAGTGTGCATTCACTTGTTAAAGTCACAAATAGGGTAAACAGTGGAGAAATCACTTACCCAAATGGACTGAAAGTGGCTATCTACACCACAATGTACATTGGTGCCTTTCATAGAGGCATCAGATATCTGACTCCAGAGAAAAGTGCATTTTAAATCAAGCTCATGTCAAATCAAGAGCCTACCATTTGCCTTCAACATAGTTTTATCTTGAAAAGCCTCTCAATATTGCTTAGTGCAGTAGTTCTCAAAGTGTTACTTCTCAATTAGCAGCATCAGAATCGCCCAGGCATTGTTCTGATATACTTTAAATTTGAGAACCTCTTGTCTAAAGGGGGTGATTAAGGGAAGGCATTAAGATGTGTGGGTCACTGGTTTCAGAAATAACTCATATAGTAGAAATATCCAAGCAAAAAGCATAATGTGAAAACATGCCCGGGAAAATAAGAGGCCTAGTTGTGGCCCTGAGCCCTGTGGCCTGAGGCCGAGCCTGAAATCTTTCTACATATGTCTAGGAAGCATGTTTTACTCTTTCTTAAACTGCAAATTGGTAACTCAAATGGAGAGCCAATGGTCACTTATAAATAACTTTATATCTTCTATGACTTTGACACAAAGCAAGGGCTCTGATGATGAATGTTTTAATTTATTGAATTCATAATACAAATGGTATATTTCTCAGTAGCGGTGGCATGGGCCCCAAATATTCCAATAAATTGACCCTTACCACTCTAGTACAACTCTAAGGTGAAGTCATGCAGTTACAGTAGTTCTTCTCTTCTTCCCCTAAGGAGTCTGCTGAAGTTCTCACAGAGGTAAGCAATGTTTATTCAAACAAAATGGATTTATGTCACTTAGCAGTGTTTTCTTTTTGTGAATTTTTATAGCAAGTGCTTTTGTTTTCCTAACAGAAAGCTAAGCCCACTGTGGGAAAAAAGATCTACCTACAGCAACTGGTAAATTTCTCATACAAATCACAGTTTCAACCATCTAACTACGGCTATGTCTTCTCCCAAATGTTCACATAACTCATTGTATACCGATCAGATATTTACCCCCAAATTTATAGTAGGCATGTTTTTTCTATTTTTGTTACTTTAATTTCTGGCTGCTATCTTGTCAAATTTGTGGATGTGTTTTAAGAAAAGTAAGCGTTGAACAATTATCCGGCCGATGTTGAAAGAGTTACAAACCTCGGAAGATTAGTTTCAAGTTTAAATGATGGAAGTTAGATACCAGCATAATTGAAGTATGACATTATTGCCCACTCAACTTTTGACAATGGCATCATAGATAGATATCTCAAGAGTAAAGGTTTCCATGCCATACATCATATAACCCATCCTCTATGAACTAGAAAAGTTTGCCATAGGCACAAGGGAAGAGCGCACACTTTGGAGTTCAGCAATTTGTGCTCCATTCATAATTTCTCAAATTATTACTTAATTTCTCCAAGCTGTAGTTTCTTCAACTATAAGTGAAGATAGTCATATTGACCCTGCAGAATAATATTAGATGATATGTACATGAATTATGTTTAAAAATGTTTGGAACACAGTCGATGCATCTAAAAAAGTGGTAAGTATTGTTATCATATCGCTATACAGAATAGACATTCCTTCTAAACTTTTTTTAAACAGAAATAGTCTTTCTTTGAACACTAAAAATGGCACTCTCCAAATAAAACTTCTGTTTTTAGGAAACTGTAATTACTGTAAAGGCCATTCTTATACTTTGTTAAAATGCTTCCAGTAGCATTCTGCCTTGTACCACTCTTGATGTTGTGGATTTATCCAATAATTATACCCAGGCAATTCTACCAAATGATATTTTATATACCCATTTACTTTCAATCTCCATGAAATGAAAATTTTAAGGAAAGATGCTACTGTCATTTCATATTTAATCTCTAAAAAAAAATCTTTGGAGTCAGATCAAAGGCTCTGGCATTTACTAGAATTTTTATTGAGCAGGATAGACATAGTTAAATGATAGATAGATACAGATGATAGATATTTCATTTTACCTTATTTATATTATATTCTTGTAAATAGTAGGTACTATGAAAACTGCTATATATTTTAACAGCTATAATCCTGCATGGTAAGTAATGCTCAGAGAGATTAAGCAATATGATCAGGGTCATGGATTCCAGTGACCAGGATCAAGGGAATTAAACTTCAGTTCTATCTGACTGCAGACCAGAATTTTTATATACATGGGACAGAAATGACAGACACTTACCTTTAATTCAAAAAAAATGTCTTTTTCTTTCCTTATGCATTTGTTCTTCTCACACAAGGTATTGTTCTGGAGGCCTTAATTAAACAGATGATTTCTTTAATGATGCAATTTACTACAAATGTAAACACAGTTACAAGTTTTAAGTGACTAGATTATTCTTTTGTTAGGTAAATTTGCCACCATTTACAAATTATCTGTGTAATTTGGTTCTGTGGAGACCTGCTTTGACTCATGGAGGAGATTCAATATTGGACTTATTATTGGACTCAATATTGATCATTTTCCTTCTTTCTAGGACAAAATCAACCAATTTTATCAGAATTTGAACTTCCTCCAGTATCTCCAAGCTCTTCATCAACCTCAGATTGTTATGAACCCATGGGATCAGATTGAGAGAAGAGCCTATTCCTTTATTCCCACCATGGTAAGTGCTGCTTTTTTGATTTACTGTTTTTCTTTTTTGTTTGCTTTTATTTTTGTTTTTGGTAAGGGATGAGATCAGGATAAAGATATGTAAAATGGCTAGATACCCAACAAGTTCTAACTGAGAACACAGAACAATAAAATATTATAGTCCAGAAATTAAATTACAAACAATACAGTCCAAATTGTAGTAACATATACAATTGTAACCATAATGAAAAATAAGTCATTTCATTTAAATTTAGTATCCATGGCCTTAATGTTTGCTCATATATCATTTTTCTTGGTTCCTCAAACAATTCTTTAATGTAGGAGAGAGACAGGTTATCATTATCTTTATGTAGCAAAAAAGACAATAATGTAAGAAAATGCAGGGAAGTGAAGTAACTTGCCCAAGTTCCAAGTACTCTTCCATTTTGTTTTATAAAACAGTTTTGTATTGAGGAGCTTTTCTTCATTTGAAAAATAAATAACGAAATCTCCCTTGCCCTTTTTCTTTTTTATATACATATATACAGAACAGAGAACAGCTCTCCACCAGTGAGGTAAGGCATTTTACTATAAAGATAATATCTCAGGAACTAGCAAGGTATTAGACACTTAATATGCACTGCCCTAAACAGTCTTTGTTCCAGTTTTCTTAAGCAATAAATTTAGATTTACAGAATATAGGAGAATTGGCACTTCAGATCTCCATGAAAAATTTGGGGAGGGCAGAAAAAAAATGTACACATCCAAAGATATGAAGATTAGATTTGTGCTAGGAGACTTTATGAAAAATTTTAATACTACTACTTTTTTAAAGGTCACTCATTAATACTGCTACCACACCAAGAGATCTGGTGTATATCTTAAAATTTGCAAATGAAGTGGGAGGAATCCAAAATATCATTCTCGATAAGGACTCTTGTTCATTCAGATCTATACAAAGTGTTATTTTCCAAATGTCTTCCTGCATATCACAAATGACTAAAGTCATTTTCATATCATCCAAGAAATAGCCTAGTTTTAAAAGTCCAAAAAAGAAACGAAAATATAACAATTTTTAAAATAAGATTAAAATGTGTAATTTAAGAAATTTTAAAGGAATCTGGCAGCTTATCTCAGGAAATAAATCAAAACCATTTATACTAAATATATTTAAGAAATTATTTTTTATTTTGTTATGGCTATACAATAAGTATTATTTATTTTATATTTACATAGGCAGGAAAATAATGCAGTTATGCATACCAGTCAGATAAGATTTATTTATCTATTTGTTGTTTCATTAATGAGATATGTCATTCATCATTCGTTTAAGAAATATAGGGGTACCTGGGTGGCTTAGTCAGTTAAGCTCCAGACTCTGGCTCAGGTCATGATCTCACAGTTCATGGGTTCGAGCCCCACATCTGGCTCTGTACTGACAGCTGAGAGCCTGGAGCCTGCTGCAGATTCCTTGTCACCCTCTCTCTCTGTTCCTCCCCTGCTCTGTCTCTCAAAAATAAATATTAAAAAACAAATTTTTAAATGTATATATATTTACGTGATCTTAGATCTTAGATCTTACGTGATCTCAGATCTTGGGTATGAAACCACGATTAAAAGAATCAATAAAAATGAGTTTAATTATATTCTTCCTCTTTATGAAAGAGGAGTTTTTTCCCTATATATTCAAGAGTAAATTATGTATAATCAATACAGTGGGAATAAAGTATCTAATTCTCTTTTTATTTCTTTAAGGAAACCTCAGGGAAGACTGTTGACATGGTAAGGTATTGATACTATATAAAGCTATATTTAATTCATATTTTTTCAAAGCTAATATTAAAATAGTAATAATTAGGCCTATATAAAATGCTCTTCTTTTAATAAAACAGAGTGATATTTTTAAGTTACTTAAAAATACAATTTCTCTCTACCTTTTAATGTTGGGTTTCTCAAGTAGCTTAAATTCTTTCTTGCATGTAAACAAGACTCTTCCTTGTGGCATAAATATGCGATTTCCACTGCTTCTTAAACAAAACAAAACAAACAAAACTAGTTTTTATTATTTAACTGAAATTTTACTGCAATCCTTTTTCACCTATCGTACTAATATGCTTGTAATATGAGAAAGATCTTTTATTTAATTTTTTTAACATTTATTCATTTTTGAGAGACAGAGAGAGACAGAGTGTGAGTGAGGGAAGTGCAGAGAGAGAGGGAGACACAGAATCCAAAGCAGGCTCCAGGATCCGAGCTGTCAGCACAGAGCCAGACTGGGGGCTCGAACTCACAGACCGTGAGATCACTACCTGAGCGAAGTCAGAAGCCCAACCTACTGAGCCACCCACGTGCCCCCAGAAAGATCTTTAATTTCATGAATATTAAGAATATACTGCTAAGGATTTAATTACCTTGGTCCCCAAATTTTGATGATGATAAGGATAATGATGATCTTATTTCTCAAGAAATCTTCTAGCAGCTCATCTAGTGAGGGAAATGATACTTTTTTAAAAAATTTATTTCATGAGAGAGAGAAAGAAAGGGGTGGGGAGGGAGGAGAGGGAGACAGAATCCCAAGCAGCCTTCATGCTCTCAGTGCAGAGACCAAGGTGGGTCTCAAACCCACAAATCGTGAGATCATGACCTGAGCTAAAGTCAAGAGTCGGATGCTCAACTGACTGAGCCACCCGGGCACCCCGGGAAATGATACTTTTAGAATGAAACAGCCAAGGTCACCTGGGTGGCTCAGTCGGTTAAACATCACTCTTGATGATCTCCTGGTTCCTGGTTTCCAGCCCCACATCAAGCTCTGTGTTGACAGCACAGGACCTGCTTGGGATTCTGCTGTCTCTTGTCTCCCTCTCTCTCTTCCCCTCCCCTGTTCACGCACTCTCTCTCAAAAATAAATAAACATTTTAAAAAATAAAATAAAATAAAATAAAATAAAATAAATAAAACAAAATAAAATAACCTAATAGCTTATTGAGAAATACTGTGCTTCCCTGGTACTGGTTAATTATTTTAAGTAAATTAAGTATTGCTAATTTTTAAACAGAGCCATATCAAAATATCCAATAAGGAAATACTGGCAATAAAGAAAAACCTTTATAAGAAATATATACAGACTCAAAATCATTTTAGAGATTTGAAATGAATTATGTACACAGTCAAGCGTTTTGTTCTATCTCATACTTTTAATAATGTATAGCTGAACTCTGGTTCATTGCAAATATGCATTTTTTAAATAAGTCAATGGCAAGTCAGGATCTTGCAATTTACCCTGATTCCCTCTC